TGTTGAATTGGTTCTTAGTACTTTCGCACGTTTTTGTTAATGATAACTGCTTGGCACACCTCTAAGCTTTGTACTTTGTGACTTTGTCAAAGTTCATAGTTCAAAGGTTTTAACCGTATCTTTAAGAATATAAGCAGTAAAGTTATTTATGGACAAGAAAATTTTTCTAAATTCTAATCTATATTTTTTCCAAAACAATCCTATCTATCATTTCTTTGAGTAGAATAATAAACTACATAGTGTTTCTCAAAAATTTACTAGAGTTGCGGTGTTGGTAGGATATTTCATATTAAGAAATCACCTAGAAATGCAGGGGCATTCGCAAAAATTGCATTGCGTGCCCGCTGAAAGCTTCATATGCACATTTCTCAATTTTGCTCTTTGAGCTTTGTGAATGGGTTTTTTCAAGAATTTTCTGGATAATGCTAGGAAATCCTTCTCTTATTTGTAAAATGTTGGTAAGGATGAGATTCCTATAAGTTGCAAACATTTTGCATTCTGCAAACGTCTGCATTATTCATCTTTTCGGTTTTTTCTCCCAAATCAATGAATCTTCAGCAACGTTTGCAAAGATGCTCTGTTGCATTCTACATTGGTCTCTTTCTCCTTCTAGAATAGTGCCTTCGTGTAGCAAAAAAAATGTTTCCTTTCTTCAACGGATTCTCCAACATCCCCATTGATGTTGAACTTTTTTTGTTCATGAGAACCTCATTATGAATTCAAGGGCCGCACCACTATCAAACATGACCCTGTGAATGGGTCAAGATTCGATGACTTACAATGAAAACACTTTTCTGAATCTTTCGCTCCCGGATCCAAATTCCATGAGAGAAAGACGGTGCTGAGTCTTTGCTGCCATTTTTTTGGGACTCCTTAGTGGACCAACAGGACGTCTTCACATTCGCTGTTCATCTATCTCAAGTATAAAACCCTTGAATGTCGCATATCGGCTAGGGTTCTTCTGTTCTTGTAAACGCTCTTTGAAGGCCATAATTCTCCTACACCCATAATATTTTATGGACATTCCATGAGAGCTGATTCCTCATTGTATTGGCTTTTGCTGAATTTCGTTTAACAGCAGAAAGCCTTAGCTATTTCAGAATATAACACTGAATTCGAAATTTTTTAACGTTTTGCTCTTTTCATTTCCACCACAACATTTCATATATGAGAGATTGAGACTTCTTGCATCTTATTCACCAAACCCCATCTCTCTTGAGGATAAGAGTTTGTCTGCCTCTGTGTATACGAAGGGAGACCTTGCAACTTTTTGGGAATTAGTGATGAAAGGGCAATTAGGTATGGGGCCAGAAAATCAGGTATCAGGGCCGATCTTCGGAAGCCGGTGGTTTATGAGATAAATCTCCATATATTAAGACATTTTTCATTATCTCTTATAGCTCCGATTTGTATTTTTGTTCTATCTTATATATCTGGGAAAAACCCTCAGCGTCACTAAATTTTCATTTCTAT